TGCTTCTATAAACACCCCAAGGCAGCCCTCTTCCCCCGCAGTGTGTGTGTGTGTGTTTAAAGAATATATATAAAAAGTTCCCCCGCTCATTTGCATAGCTTCATCTTTACCTTTTCCCATTCAGCTCTTGCAAAAAAAAAAAAAAAAAAAGCATATCTATTCAAAGCCCTTGCAAAAAGCATATCTATTCAAAGGGCATTTAGTCCATTTCTTTCTTGGCCGGTAAACCTATTCATCAATTGTTCTGCCTTGTAGATTGCATTCTAATGCTAATCTAGCGTGTTAAATATCTTTTTGTTCCCCTTTCACCGTTTTGTCATTCAGTTTATCCAGTTTTGGTCACCCATTTTATTTATTTATGCGCCTGCTCCTATTCAGGGGCTCATGTATTTTTTATTATGTTGTTTCACTGTCACGCAGTGTCAACTTAGTCTATTCAATGGGGGCTACTTGAAGGCCGGAGGGACAAAGCGTGTACACATTGCAGCGCTATTCATTCCGGCCAGCTGGATCGGCTGAAAAAAAAACCTTGTGAAAAGAAACGGCTCACAATGGACACAGAAGAACTGCACAATGCTAACAGTTTTCCAAATACCACTGATTGGTTTCTTCACAATGAGGAGAAAGCCGCCGCTTTTTCTTAGCTCCACTTCAACAAACAACACTCTCACAAAACCTCCCAACCTTGCGTTTTGTTCCCGGACAAAACCTCCTCGACTGTCTAAACGCTCCCACTGAAGGACAAAAAAAAAAGAAAGAAAGAAAAAAGAGAGAGAGAGGATAAAAAAAAGAGCTCTTTTCACCATTTCCCTCTTTTTTTTTCCCTCCCCCTGGAAGAGAAAAAAAAAGGAAAGAAAGAAAAGGAGGGGGTGGATTGTTAGTGAATTAATAATATCAGTCTTTTAAAAGAAGAGGGGCTGACCTTTGAGATGCACTGGGCCGAGGGAGAAAGAAGAGGGGAGATTTTAATAAAGTTTGGACGGCTCTCTCTCTCTCTCTCTCTCTGCCTCCTCTGGGCTGTGGGCGCAGGGAAGCCTCCATCACTTCGGGGCGCACGAGTTGTGGGGCCTCCCCTAGCCTGGGAGCACCGAGCACTCCCCCCTCCTTCCACTGGCCCGGAGCATCGAATCCCCCCCCCCCCCCCGCCCCCCGGGCGAGGACTCCCGCTCCTGGAGCACTGCGCTGAGTCGCAGCCGTGCTCTGATTGGCTGGCGCTCGGGTCCCCGTCTGCACCGGGAAGAGCAGGATCTTGTGAGCATCTTCCGCACGCGCCCCTCGCCAAAGCCGCCCCGGGCTGGGGCGTTCATTGGAAGAACCCAAGTGTTTGCCCTAGTTTCTGGGGCAGGCAAGGAGGGGTGGGGTGGGGACGGGAGGAGGAAGAGGAGGAGGAAATTGTCAAAAAATAAAAATAAAAAAAGTAAGCTGGGGGTGGGAGGGCTGCCCTGCTGCTTCCTCGAAGACACCCCCGGGCCGCAGCGTCCCGGGCGCAGACCCGATCGCGTCTCGAGAACAATTCCACCTGTTTGCTCATAGCCAGAAGCAACAGGCCCGGTCCCAAGTTGGTTCAAAGTTTTCAGGCAATGATGCCTATCCATGGAATGTCTTTTATTTTTTTTTAATCTTACATTTAAAATAGGAAAAGGGAGAGGAAGGTGTCTTAGATGTAAGAGAGAAGGAAAGCAAGTCGAAAAGGGAAGAGAGAGAAGCAGGGAGAAAAGAGACGGGGGGGGGGGGGGAGCAGGGGATATGGAGCCAACAGCATCTCTTTGGCCAAATCTCAGCGCTCAATTTTTTAGGTTACTTTCAGATTCCTAGGCCCACCCACCCCTGATACCTTGTGAACACCCCTCCGGACGTTCCTGCCACCCCCCCCCCACTCCTGACTTTTGGCCAGTAGTTCTAGGGCAGGGGGGTGGAGGGCTCAGACCCACCAACTTGTGAGCAAGACCATTGGAACTAGAGGGGTTGATAAATGGATCCCGGGCGCTTCTGAATGCACTCAAACTCACTCACCATCTGTGGGTGAACTGACCCTGACTCTCTTCCCCGCCTGCCTCTCCCCTCCCTTTACTAGTCTTTCCAGTCCTCTTCTTATTCATCAGTTCTCGGGAGCGTTTTTCTCCCCCAGAAAACGCTCATCTTTGGGAAAAGGAGAAGGGGGTGGGAGAGGGCGGAGAATCTTCAGGCCGGTGGGGCCCCCGAGCTGGAAGGCTCCGGGAGGTAACTAAGATTTAGGGCTGGGGTGATTTCCAGCGATCCGCAGGAAGTTCCGTGTAGGGAAGTGATGGGTTGCTACAAAAGGGAAAGACGAAGCTTTGAAAGGATTTAATTAACCGTGTCAGGGATAATTACCCCTGGACAGTCCAAATTAGTTTTGCATAATCGCTCAGAACCTTATGAATTAACTTATAATATTGCAAAGAGCTCGGAGAATAACAGGAAGGGGATCGTTTTAATTAGTGAATCAGGGTCAAACCAGCAGAGTCTATTTCTCGCATTTCCAAAAGTTTTTATGGTGGTTGTTGTTGTTTAAATATTACTCCATTGGGAGAAAACAATGACTTTAAAAGACCGGGTGCTTATAAAGACACTCCGCTCTGGGATGGCTTCTGTCCGTGGGGACATAGTTTAGGACTGGTTTATAGTATCTTGAGAATTTCTGTATTTGAACGGGGAAGGGAGGAATCTCCCTGCAACTCTATTTTTTTTTTTTCTGGTTATTTTCCATGGTGGTCTATCATTTCCTTCTTAAAAGTAAGATCCTTCCTAAAAGTAAGACTCCTCTCCAGAGGAGTCTTGGCTAGTTCTGTAAAAGCAACCTTCTCCCATCAGAATTGCTACATCGTACTTTTAGTTAAGTGCTCTCAACTTGCCAGAATAAGGCCCTAAAGAGGCCAAAAGTTGTCCATTTCTGTTGGCAGCGATTACCCTCCCAAATAAAACCTTAAGGTGCAAATAAGGAATACCCTGAAGATATGTGAACAAATTACACTGATTTAAGTGGCAGGGCTCTTCTGCTAACAAGATAAAGTGGTCGGGCAACTTTCTCCTCTGAAAATGTTACTGGAAACTGATGAAATGCTTTGAAGAGTCTGGATGTTTTCAATGGGCCCTGTTCTACTGGTTCATGAATGTTTTTTACTCTCTCTCCCCTCTCTCTTGCTCGCTCTCTTTCTAAAGATAATGCAACTACTTGGGTTTGTTTCTTATCTTCTTTCCTATTCACGATTAAAAATGTGATAAATCAGGTTTTTGGCTCTGAATAACAATGGCTTGATTTAGATTTCCTAGTAAATCTATTCAAAAGCGAAACAAAGACTGCCTTTGGGGGATACCTTACACTTCACCTGGACCAGGCACGTAAGGGCAGTTCAGATAAAAATCTTGTTAGGAACTCAACAAGAAATAGAGGATTTTCTCTTTTCCCTGGCTCAGGCTTTATTTAAACTCTTTGTTCAAAAAAAATGAACAGAGTGATAGTTGGATTCTAATTTACAGATATAGCTTAGACGCATCTAATATTAAATTAGAAGATCACACAAGGAAACCATTTACACATAAGAGTTAAAACCAATATTTTAAACTTTTAAAACTTTATATTACATAAAGCCAAAATGAAACTAAATACAAGTTAGCCAACTTCATTCACAAACATTAGTCAAAATATATACATTTAAAAAGAAACAAACAAAAGCTACCTTTGAGGAAGGTTCTTTCTAGAATGTGCTTTATCATAATTCAAAAATAAATTGCGGGCAATCTTAAAAAAAAAAAAAAAAGAAAAAAGGAAAAGCTTATCCAGGAGGGAACTCCAAACACATTAAAAGTCTTCTAGGTGGTGGAGAAATGCTAACGAAAAATCAAAGGCATCTGTCAAGTCAATTCTGTGCTTCCTTCAGTTTTGCTAAGTAATAAATATATAATTACCACTCAGACAAAAAGTCTGACTTAAACTTACACAAAACTGCGATTCTTGAAGTAGTCCCGCAATTTCTAAAAATTAACTTTGACATTTGTTCGAAATGTTTTTGGGTCTCAAGTCGAGTCCAATTTAAGGGCAACAAAAATACTTTCCAAGACTGCATGTTTTCACTGACATACACACGTTCATAATCTTAAAATGAACTCAGCCAAGAGGGTTGGGGTGGGGGGCGGTGAAGAGCTAACTAAGCCTTTCTTTCCCTCTTTCTGTTAACTGTCAAAAATCCAAGCCAGAGGTATCAGGGAGACTTCCAATAGATTTTTAAAGGGGAGAAAAATCCAATTGACAACTTCCCTCTCACACGCACCTCTTTGCATTTCTCGCTCTGATTTGCATATGGCTTGATAAAAAGAATTCCTGATCATCCCACATACAAAAGGCCAGATTTGAGCTGGTCACTAGTCTAGAATGGATCCGGGCTGGGGAGAAGGGGGAAGGGTTCCGCTTAAAAGAGAACAGATCTGCAAAAGTTCAACTAGTACACATAGGGAGCAAGGTTGCAAGGCGGCTCCGAGCCTTCCCGCTCAGAGAAAACTACTGACAACAGATCACCGGCTCGACCCCCTGTGCCAGCCATGTTCAGACCTAACCTTGGATCAGAGCGCACGTAACTCAGAGGCCGGGGAGGGGTTGGTGGTGGAGAGACCAGGGGAGGAAAGGCAATGAGAAACCAAAGCAAAACAAAAACACCATAATAAAACTTCCAGCAAACAGAACTAAAGGAGCCCAAACGTGTCCAAAGGGGGGTAAAGTTTACTCCTCCACCTCGTGTGGGATCAAAACGCAACAGGTTCCGAAGTGCAAAGCCAACCCTTACACCGCGGCGGCCGGAGAAGCGAGCCCGCCCTCTTTCAAGTAGGGGGGCAGACACGCGGGTCGCAACACGATCGTGTGAATCTCACGCGCACACGCGGCCCGCGCCCCGCCCTGGCATCTCCGCCTGGCACCTATACAGCTTCTGTACATACACACCGGGCCCCCCTCCCCCAGGGGCGGGAGGGCGCCCCGGGAGGCCGCGGAACTCGTACCTATACATATGTACACGTGTGCCCACCGGTCCTCGGGCGGCGGCCCCGCGGGGGTCATAGCGCAGCGGCGTAGGCCGCCGGGTAGGGGTCCAGCTGCGGCTTGCCCATGCCCGGCAGCAGGATGTACGCGAGCGGCGGCTGCAGCCCGGGGCTGGGCCACGCGCTGCAGTTGCACGGGATCATGTAGCCCGGGTTGCCCGGGCTGGGGTGCGAGTGCGTGTGCCCCCCGGCGGCCGCGGCCGCCGCTGCAGCCGCCGCCGCCGCCCCGTGGAAGGCGCCGGCGCCCGCGCTCGGGTAGCCCAACGACGAGGCGTAGGGCAGGCCGGACGACGACGACGAGATCTCTGCCATCTTGGAGCCCAGGTCGAGCAGGGAGTACGGGCTGCCCGCGGCGGCGGCGGCGGCGGCCGCGGCGGCGGCGGCGGCCGACTGCGGGAAAAAGACGCGCGCGGCGGCGGCGGCGGCGGCGGCAGCCGCCTTCTCCGGGTTGGCGAGCAGCGACTCCGGGACCAGGCCGCCGCCCGCGCCCGCATGCAGCCCGGCTCCCGCCTTCAGCGCGGGGTGCTCGGCGTCGGCCACGCCGCCCAGGCCGTAGGGCACCGGGAAGGCGAACTTGTCCTTCTTGAGCAGCGTCTTGGGCTTGCGCCGCGGCCGGTACTTGTAGTCGGGGTGCTCCTTCATGTGCATGGCGCGCAGGCGCTTCGCCTCGTCGATGAACGGCCGCTTCTCCGCCTCGGTCAGCAGCTTCCACTCGGCCCCCAGCCGCTTGCTGATCTCCGAGTTGTGCATCTTGGGGTTCTCCTGGGCCATCTTCCGCCGCTGAGCCCGAGACCAAACCATGAAGGCGTTCATGGGCCGCTTGACGTGGTCCACCGGCTTGGACATGCTCTCGCCGTGCCGGGGCTGCAGCCCGCCGCCGCCCGGGCCCTGGCCCTCGCCCTCGGCCCGGAGGAAATCAATGTTGGCGGCCCGCGGGGCCCCGCTCGGCCGGCTGCCGGGCGCCCTGGCGTCGAGCCCGCGCGGGAGGAGGCGGCAGGGGGACCGGCCCAGGGCCGCGGCGCTGCGCTGCGGGGCCGCCTTGGCTTTCTCCCGCCCGCCGAGCGCACGGGAAGGAAGGAGAAGAAAAAGAAGAAGAAAAATCCTCTCCGGGACGCGGGGACTCCTCGCGGTGCCCGCACCCCTGCGGTGCGGTTGCCTTCTGTTGCTTTTTTTTTTTTCTGGTCCTTCTCTCCGATCGCGGTGGCCGGCGAGGTCCTCTTCAGGTCACCGCTGCCCGGCACCGTTCTCCCCCCCTCCCGTCTGTCTTCGGGCTCTCAAATGCAAAGCAGCAGCACAGCAGCAGCAGCAGCAGCTGAAAGAAAGTTGCGTGGCGGAGGCTCCACCAAGTTGAGCCCGGGAGCCCGGCGCCGCGTGCTGCCAAGTGCCAAAGGGACTCTCGGCGGCTGGAGTGTTTGGGTTCTCCTGGGTGACTTTCTCATTTGACAGAAGCAGATGGGGGTGGAAAGGAGGGGGTGGCCCCGAGGAGGAGGGGGAGGAGGGGGCGCGGAGGAGGGTCCGGGCGCGCCCCGGGACCGCAGTGTACCGCACCGCGGCGGATATAAATGCAAATAAAGCCGCGCCCGCTGCTCTTCTGGATTCGGGGGCCCGGGCGCGAGGGTGGGGATTCCACCCTCCCCCTTCAATCGGCTGCGATTTGTTTCATTTGGGGTGGGGGGAGGAATGTCCCCCCCTGCACCTGCCTCTGGAGGTTTCCTCTCGGGTCTTCGCGCCGGAGAGAAGAGGAACGAGGTCGGAGGGAGTGTGAGCAAGCCTGGGATCCCGCGGGGTTCAGAGGAAATTCTCCCCGCCCGCCGAGGCGCCGCGTCGGGCGGTCCGCTGGGCCACGGTGGCTCCGAGCGCCCCCCCAGGCGCGTCGGGTGACTCGGGCTCCCGCAGGCGCGGCAATCTGGAGAGTTAATCCGGCCGGGACTGTGTTCTCTCCCGGCTCCGCTCGCCACCTCCCGGGTACTTGCAAACTAACTTTTGTCGCCCAAGTTTGGCGGCGCCGGCGCGGCCGCGCCCCTCGCGGCGCGCTCGCCCAGCCCAGGTGCGCCCGCGATCGCGCCGCGCCCCCGGGGGCCCCGGGCTCGGAGATCTCCAGGCCACGTCCCGACTGGGGCCGAACTGGGGGGTGGGGGACAGCCTGAGGAAAACTCGCCGTCACCTCAGTGTGCGCTGGAGCTGCTCCGATTTCCCTTCCCCAACTCCGGCCGTCGCCAGTCCCGGCTCCCTTTGAGGCGTCGAGGACGGCTGGCGTCCACCGCACCCGCTCAGGTGAGAGTCTGTACCTGCGCGCGTCCGCGCCCCGGCCCGGCGCGGGGTGTGCACGTCCAGCCGCAGCTCAGTGTGTATATCTTGGGGCCTGCGGAGGAGGTGGAGCCGGGGACTCCAGGAGGGAGGAGGGACCAGCGGCGCCTCCTCCCGCTCCCCCCCCCCCCGCACCTCGAATTAACAGGATCGCCCCCCCCCCCCATCTCCCGCGTCTCACCCCCCCTCCTCTCCTCCCCCCTCCCATTCCCTTTTCACTTGGTGAGCAGGTTTCGGCGAGCGGAGAGCCGGCGGCGCGCCGCGGAGTCTGCGCACTGTTGGGCGCTGGCAACCCCCGGTGTCCTCGGCCAGCTGCCCGGGCTGGCCCCGCTGGGCTGCTCAGGTCCCAGCTCCGGGAGTCTCGGCCCCGAAGGAAGAAGCCTTTTCGCAGGAGATGGAGAGTTTCATGAACTACGAAAGAAGAGGGTGAAGCCCGGGGAAAGGGACATCTGCTCCTCTGAAAATCGTTGAAGACTGTGGCCTGCAAGAAAGTTACTCATTTTCCTGCAAGGTCCCGAGGGCGCTGGCGGTCGATGCCTCCCGCGTGTTCTTGCGCTGGTGATGTACCACCCAGCCAAAGGTAGTGGCATGAAAGACAGAGCTCAGGCAACTCTGGGGGGAAAGGAGCTAGCCGAGGATGCTATTTGGCGTTAACCATTCTGGCTCGTTCTCGTACTTGGTACCAGAGCTATCTGTGCTGACCTCTTTAAGGTGCAATTACCTTTATCCTATCTTTCTGAAAGGCACAACTTAGGGTAACGTGTTTAACATCTGTAGGAAGCAGAGATTGTTTCTCTGAAGAAGTAAAACGTAGTCACACACTCTCCTGGAATAGTTTAATGCTCTTCAGCACGGTTTTCTTGTTTAGTTAGAGCAATTTTCTTTATAATTGACATGCTGCAAAAAAACTCCCAAAAACCCACAAACATAAAAACCCCAAACAGCATAGTTTTGTTTGCTTTATTTTTTTCTCTCACTTCTTGCTTTGTAGCATATCTTATTCTCAAGGTAGCCTGCCCGTCGGGGAGAATGTCCATGCCCATGTGATATATGCCATCGGAAACTTATTAACAGTGGTGGACATACATGTTTAAGGCTTTCTGCAACTTGTGTTAAACTCACATATGCACAGAGAAACCCAGCATCGATTGTAATTCTGAACTTAAACAAGGATTGTTTGAGGTCATCATATTTATTTCTACTTATTTAAAGGTTAGGCTTGTGTTGCTCACTTTAATAGAAGAAGGGCACTTGTGTTGTTAAATGTTAGTTATGGTAATAGAAATCTGAATGAGCAGTGACAGGTGTGTGTGTTTATTTATTTTTTCTTAAGATGGCATATTTACAAACGTCTATTCAGTATCAGTTCTGCCCTTGTACTGGTGAAAACAATTGGGCTGATTTCTCTAGAACCATATTCCTTTAACAGGCTCTATAAAGACACCGCATTCACAAGCTCTGGGATATGCAAGGGTAAAACACTGGCAGATGTAATTACATAGACTAGGATATTAAATATACTGTCTTGTGATGATAAACTACAAAATTACTGTCCTTGAGCTTTTTAACCTACTAACTTATATATAATAGGTTTGAGACGAAAATATTATACACGGTCACACAAAGAACATATGTATAGGGACACAGGTATAAAAAAACTGTTATTCTCTGATCATTTGCATAAAGTTAAGTTTAACCTTGACATGTAGAAAATGACTAAGGTTGACAAAATTCATTGTGTGTTGGTATTCTAAATTATGCTGTTGAGCTCTGTTTTAAAATCTGCAATAAATTATCATTAAAAAGATCTGCTTGTATTATGTGATTGAAATGTATGCTCATATATGATATGTGTTCTAAAAAATAAATACATAAGGTAACCCAAGAGTGACTTTTCTAAGATAAACTGCAATATTACATGATTACTGATAGGCAGTGAATTTGAAAGTTCTCATGTCTAAGAGTGTTGAATTTTGGAAAACAAATGTATCATGACAAGAAAAATGACCATTTGTGTGTTCATTTATTCATCCAGCAGAAGTTTATACATTGCAGAAGCAGAAATTTGGTCTTCAATTTGGGATTTTAAGGAGTCTGTATTCTTGACTTGACTTCTTCACAGCCAAGGAAAGAGTTCTCAAACTATCAAGGAGGGCAGTGTGGCCATTGTTTTTGTTAACCATGTGAATGAGTCTTGTTGAGCTTTTTAGCAAAGTAAGATTTCAAGCCAATTTTATTTTTAATTTCTTCTTCTATGATGACACAATGGAAAGACTGTTATTTTTTTTTCTTGGGAGTTTTTTATCCTAACAATGGAAAGTACTAGAATATTGGAAATGAAAGGGAATAATTAAAGAGAATTCTAACTGGTGGGTCCTGACATCTTTTGATTGTAAAAGTCTATAAGGGAAGAGTCTATATTGGTTAGTAGAATCCATGTGGGACATTACTTTCTTTGAGGTCACAGTAGTTAATACCTGTGGCCACAAATGTCTCTTATCAGAAACAGAGATACTCAGAAAAAGTTTGTGGGTCTGTGTAATTTCAGTTTCTTTCTCTCCCTTTTAGTCCTCCCCAGTAAATGGTCTCTTTTTTCAATTCAAAAACTTGCACTAGGAGGCAGCAATGAGGTTGCTGGAGAATAATAATTTTTAGAAAACGTTGGCAGCTCCAGACTAACTAGTTCCCTTTCTCTTTCATAAAAGGAGGGAGAATTTTCAAGTCCCAAAAATGAAGTCAGAGTTTTCCCTTTCATCTTTCCATCTTCCCCTTTCTCACTAGATTTTCACTCAGATTGGTTCTGTGTTGCGTAGTTCTACAATCATGGAGGTGACAGACCACAGCAAAGACAGGGAACCCTTGCCAGATGAGAGGTGAGCGGATGGAAGTGATAGTAGAGGTAATACCTTCAAAGTGCGGAGACCAAGTAATCACACCTAGAACACTGATTGCCTACAACTATAGTTAGAAGACTGAAGTTCTGTGCTTAAGCAAGTGTAATGAAAGAAGCTAGGTGCTTTCAGACCTACATAGGAAGGTCATGCATGCAGCCTGTTCATCCTGTTAAGAAGAGAGTAAGCAAATAAAGGAATGCCAGAGACAGCCTTTGGAATTGTCACAGCTCTCCTGTTCCTTTTAGTGGCATCAGGAGAAAAATTCCCAAGCCTACATAAATCCCAAGAGACCGGAAGAGCTAGCTGGACTTGCCAGTCATGATAGGAGCCAAACCTTCCAAAAGTGGCTTTGTACCACTTACTGCTTCCATCTTTCTGAGATTCTTGTCCCTTTTATTCTCACTGTTCCCACTATCTTTGGAAAAGTAGCACTATCCAATTTCATGAGGGAGACCATGTCCCTATTCTTGATGGTGCTCAAGCTGGCTGATGTTTTCCAAAAGGAGTCGTTAACTAAAGGACAGGGGAAGAAAAAACAAAAATAGCCACACACTCTAAATCACCCTCTATAGAAAAAATAAAAAAGACAATCCACTAATCCAAGACCAAAAAAAAAAAAAATGTCTCAGTACTCTGATTTTAGACCTGGAGCAATGAAGAGCTTTGGTTCTCTTAGGGTAAGTGGTTTGTAAGAGGGCCAGAGCTAGTCTCAAATATGGAGGAGGAGGAGGCTTGTATAATTGGCTAGCCTATCATGTCTTTGGTGTAATGAAAAGGTCAAATTTCAATCTTTTTCACATG